AACTTATACACCTGACTGCACGTAAGGCTATCTGTAAGGGTGCCAGTTTTGGAGGAAATTGGTTGATGTCAACCTCAGCCACAGATGGCAGCACCTTAGACTTCATTTTTAATCATTTCTTTTCAAGTAACAAACTTAAACTACTTTAATTTTTTATTCAATTTATATAAAACTCACACCTTGTATGTAGAGTATGTCTACAATCTGTATGAAGCGTTTTTTCCTAATTTTATTGATTTTATAAAAAAATCCAACACGATATATTTACATAATTTGGGGGGAACTGACTTTGTATTAGTAAAACTAAACATTTTGGAAAATCCCCTCATACAGATCCTTTATTATATACTAATGTGATAGAAGAGTCATAGAAATTATTTCATTTGAAACTTGTGGTTGTAGAGGCTTATTGAAAATATGTAACATTTGTTGGAAAAAAAAATTCTTTGTATTTAGGCTGCGATACTAAAACTTTGAACAGTTGCAGCCCTTTTCCATATACAAGTGATCAAAAAAAGATTGGTTGACATTGAACAACTTAAAAGAAACTAACTGATGGCACCTTAACACTATAATTGAGAGGGCAGCCTCTGCTGCCTGTAGAAATAGACCCCATCTGCTCATCATGGGGGACTTCAATCACGGAAGGATAGACGAAGAACAAGGAACTGCATGGAGAGCTAAACTATTGGAGGTGGCGACAAGAAACTAAGCCAGCATGTCAGGGAACCCACAAGAAAGAGTAAATGATGAACCAGCGAGAGAGTACCTAGTCTTCACTCTGAACGACTAACATAAGGGAAATCTGTTTCGAGGGCCCAGTAGGAATGAGCGACCACAGTGTACTGACGTTTGAATATCTGGTCAAAGAAATGTTAATGAACTCTAGAAGGGGAACTGAAAACTAAAGGTTGGCATTCCGAAAGGGAAACTAGGAGATAAGAAAATTCCTAACAGATATAACATGGAAAACAGAGCTCAGGGGAAAGACGGCCCAAGACATGATGGACTACATCACACAGAAGTGTAAGGACGCAGCAGACAAGTTTCTCCCGGTCCAAAAGGAAAACAATGAAATTCAGGAGAGAAACCCATGGTTTAATCGGATATGTAAGCTAACTAAGCATCAAATTAAAATGGCGTGGAGAAACTATAAAAATAACAGGGCATTTTAGAGCAGAGAAAGATACCAGAGTGCCGAGAATGAATATGTCAGGTTGAGAAGAGGTAGAACGGCAATACGAAAATGATATCGCAAGCAAGGCAAAGACAACCTAAATTGCTGCACAGCCACATCAGGAGAAAAACAACAGTAAAGGAACAGGCAATGAGATTGAGGATACGGCAGAGATTCACTACAAACGACATGGAAGTGTGTGTGTGAGTAGCTGAATATGTCCAGGAGGTCTTCACATTAGAGCAAGAAGTAGTTCCAGAGATAAGATACCACTACAAGAGTTTGAGATTACCAGTGGGATGTAAGAAAGCTTTTGCTTGAGTTGGACGTGACAAAGGCTATAAGCCCAGATGGAATCTCCCCTTGGATATTAAAGGAAGGAGCAGAAGAACTGTGCCTGCCTCTCTCCATAGTGTATAACAAATCACTGGCAACAGTGTAACTGCTAAAAATTTGGAAGGCGGCTATTGTAGTCCCGATATACAAGAAGGGGGATACAGGGAGGTCAGTGTCCCTAACTTGCATACCATGCAAGTTGACGGGAAAAGATTGTGCGAAAAAAAGTTAGTGGAACATCTGGAGCGAAAACTTTTATAACACAGCATCAACATGGGTTCAGGGATAAGTCCGGCCTCACAGGATTAATTCTACGACCTGACAAAAATCAGACAAGAAGGGTGGGCAGACTGCATATTTTTGGATTGCCAGAAATCCTTTGACAGTACCACAACAGAGGTTAGTGCAAAAGCTGGAGATGCAGGCAGGAGTGAAAGGGAAGGTACTCTATTGAATAAGGGAGTAACTAAGCAACAGTAGACCGAGTCACTGAGGGGTTAGGTCTAAGATTAGTGAGGCGTCACCAGTGGAGTCCCGCAGGGTTCAGTCCTTGCACCTATACTGTTTCCGATATATGTAAATGATCTCCTAGAGGGTACAGAATCATTTTCCTTTCATTGTTTGCTGATGCAAAATTTATGAGGGTTAAAACAGAGGAAGATAGTACGAGGCTACAAGATGACCTAGACAGACTAAATGAATGGTACAACAAATGGCTACTAAAGTTCAACCCGAGTAAATGTAAGGTAAAGAAACTAGACGGTGGAAACAGGAGGCCAGACACAGGATACAGAATGGGAGATTAAGCACTTCATGAAACAGACAAAGATCTAGGAGTTGATATCGCACCAAACCTGTCTGAAGTCCACATAAAAAGAATTGCATTGGCGGCATATGCGAGGCTGGCTAACATCAGAACAACCTTCAGAAACCTGTGTAAGGAATCATTCAGAACCTTGTATACCACATATGCAAGTCCAATCCTGGAGTATGCAGCCCCAGCATGGAGCCCGTACCTTGTTACGCACAAGACAAAGCTGGAAAAATTTCAGAGATATGCCACTAGGCAAGTCCCCATAACTAAGAGGCACGAGTTACGAGGAAAGGCTGCGTGAAATGCACCTCTCGACACTGGAAGACAGAAGAGTAAGGCGAGACATGATCATTACCTACAAAATTCTCAAGAATTGACAAGGTAGATAATGATAAACTGTTTAACACGGGGGGTACGCGTACAAGGGGACAGGTGGAGACCCAAATGAGCCACAGGGACGTTAGAAAGAACTTTCAGTGTCGGTAGTTAACAGATGGATTGCATTAGGCAGTGATGTGGTGGAGGCGGACTCCATACAGTTTCAAATTTACATATGATATAGCCCAGTAGGCTCAGGAATCTAAACAGTTGATTGACGGTTGAGAGGCAGGACCAAAGAGCCAGAGCAAGCACAACTAGGCGAGTACACACACCTTACACCTACAAGATCGTTGTGGATCATGTATGTGATCTGATAATTACATTACCTTACCCTACTCCCAGCGATCTAATTAGTACTCCCAGGGCTACTGCTGTCACTATTTATACGGATGACAATAGATTTTTATCTTTTGTCCAGCAGAATTCTCTAACACACCAATTGCACGGAATGATACATGCGAACTTTAAAAGTAAATTATAGATCAATTCTACTTCTCTGGCACCTCTATTACTATGTTACGGCTGTACCAGTAGTGGTGGGATCGTGACAAGCATGGGCAAATTCCTAAACTGCAGATGGTCTGTTTAGGCCCATACGAGGCAGATCCAGTATATCAACCGAATTCACTCTTTTCTAACCTACACATGAAGCAAGTGATACCGAGTATTATGCTACCCAGGAATTCGCTCATAAAACACCCTTGTTTCCATATTAGAATTTACCCAAGTGTTTCCTCTAATATACAAATTAGGTAAGCTTAAGATGGTTTTTCCATTCCATTTTTGGCTCATAAGATAGTGTATGTGTAACGCCATAAAAGGTATTTAATTTTTTTTACATACAACACGAGTCAGCCCGACAGGATATTGAAAGGCACCAGGTTGTCCGTCTTAGCAATTAAGAAGTCACACCTAGAGATTTAATGGTCAGAGGTTGCCTTCGGGTCAGGTCGTGTGAATTTATCTTGCTTTCTGCCCATTTGAGAAAATTCGTTTTGAATGAACAGCATGTACTAATTTATGAATGCGTCTGTGGGATCGACCTCTGGATGTAATGGACTCGAGGACGTGTTGGGTACGAGATGTGTGTAAACCGTTTTTTTAATCAAACGGGGGATTTAGTGGGTGCATGGAATGGACTTTGCTTCAGCCCGTCCTCCAAACAAAGGCCAACCGTCAGACCCTGTTTAGGAATTAAAAATTTACACACGGCTCTATTGATCATGTTCGAGCATTTCTCGAACAGTGTTTCGCTGATGACCTCTGTTCGAATCTCAACTAAATGCTTCACTCGTGTACTTCAGTCACAAATAATTGACAATCTAAACGTCTAACCTGACCTACAGCAAGCTATACATAGACCTTCAATACATACAGTATGTTAAAATTTATGAATGCGTCTTTGGGGACGGGCGCCTTTAACGAGCCTGGCCGGAGGACAGTTCGATTATGTACACATTATCATGTTCAGAGCAAACTATGCTAACAGTTTGCGTTCGGCTGCATTTCCTAAGTCTTCCATGTATTGAGCAGGACGCCCACCACGCTGGGCTCGCTGTTAGCCACGTACCAGTATAAGCATCATTAGAGTAAATAACCAAGGAATGGCTGTTTTAGATTTAGCTACTCTGAACGAAATCTCCAAGTAGCACGGGCTATGGTGAGCCCGTAACTTGCCTGATACAGGAGCGGTGTGTGTGATTGTGTCAAAAAATGGCTTTATGTCCACCTTTTAACTGGGATCAACCACCATACTTCCACACACGTCACCCTCAAGATACATTTAGTCTAGCAGGATGGTGACCGCACCAGGCCTTGTCCCTGACAGGAGCACCTCATTAAGTATAAAAAAAAAAAGTCCGATAACGTCGATAGAGTAAACTGCACCATGTCAGGCTACGCCACATTGGGGTAGAAGAATACGGCTGCTCTACAGTAAGGTCTACTTTGTGACCTGAGCAAATTTTCACCACTACGTATATTATATCATGATGTAAACCTAACCCAGTCTAACCTATCCTATCTTAACCTAAACAAAATATGAGAAAAAAGTGTTTCACATATATTGCATGCACAAGATGTGACGTCAATAAATTTGATTAACTAGTTTTAGATTCTATTGGTTCCCCGCGTGTGTTGGGGATGAAGGCGTCCCGTGCTCGCCGCCACACCGCGGGGCGACCTATCTACCTGCTGCTGCTGCTGCTGCTGCTGCTAGGAACCTGCACAACCCCTGACAATGGCCACTCGTCAGTGAAAACACTATCCTGGCCACGCACTAGTACTACCTACCCAGGATCCTGATGAGGCTGGCGATATCGTCGGCGAGAAGGGAGGTGGTGTAGTGTGTTCTCAGATGAGGGGTGTCCGAGTCCCCACAACCACGCATGTCCACTGCCACCACCCTGCGGGGACACGCACAAGGCTCAGTCGCACGCGAGCAGCGCAAACAAAACAAAACCAACCAAACAAAAATCAGTGACATTGAATACAGTAGTGTGAAATGGTATTAGGCTCCATACACAGCTTATTGGGTACACGGACGTACACACTCACTTCCATTGGCAGACAATGAAATTTGTGTGGGAGGACCGGCAAATTCAGACTTACCAGTAGGCGTTGCTGATGGAGGGGATCTGTCTCCTCCAAGTGAACCAGAAGTCTGGTGCTCCGTGGATCATCACCACCAGCGGGTTTTCCGGGCTTCCGGCTTCCACGTAGTGAAGCTTCAGGCGCTGAAATACAATTCCAGGTTGAGAAAGATACCCAGAGCTGGGCGAATGGGAGGAAGTAAAGGTTATACGTCGGTTACAAGTTAGTTTATCTACCGACTCATTGTGGTGAGAATGTGTATCATTCTGCGCAAGGTCAAGAAGTGATTTGTTACCAAGAATTTAAAGCTACAAATGGAGATCACAGATGTAAAAATTTGATGTCCTTAAGGTAATTATTTAAAACTATTCTTAGTCATGGAAAATACTAACAGAGCCAAAGAGACAGTGCCCTTCCCAAGCATAGGAACCCGGGACGATATACCCGAAAGGTAGGCCCACACTGCAAGGAATAACTATGGTTCAACCCATCTCCCCCCCCCCCAAAGAGAACCATGGGTACAACACCCACCTATCAAAGATTAAGGCGAGAGGGAGGGACGCGTACTACTACATAATTTTTTTTTCCTCTCCCCTATCACAGACGTGGCCGCACATTTACAATGCTAACCAGTCTCTACACACTTTCTTCTGTCCTCCATGGACAGGGTTAGAGATCTGTTCAACATATAGTTCAGCGATTTATTGAACAACCTCAGAAGGTGGTTGTAGTGCTTTTAAGATGCTAATCTAACCTATATACATAAATTAAAAAACACAGATTAACGTTTTGTCCTACATAAACAGTGTTCGAGGTGTCTTTCTGCATAGTGTCATTAATGTACATTTACAAAGGTGAAATGCGTATGGGTTAGTTGGGATTGTATCAACGGAATCAAATTCTGTAGCAGCTACTTCCACGACCGCAGGAATTACAGGCACTACAAACTAGGTCCACACATTTCCCGGAATCAAGCAGTTTCCTATCAACCAACCCAAGAGCATCATTGGTTCTAAACCAATTCAGGTGGTCGGGACTACAAGGCTGTCTGACCACAATTAAGAACATGACCGCGGCCAGTCCAGCCTCTTCAATTAATGCTTGGGTAGGCCTATCCAAACACCACAGGAGAGAACGGTTCAAGTTCTACTCGCCATTGCCGACAGATTTGACGGGAAGAACAGCCTATTTGTCAAGACCATTAATAGGTTAAATTAAAAATTACCAACTGTAATAGTTGCATTTCGACAATCTCCAAAATTCCTGCAACATCTACAGCATCTAGATCTGCAAACCCTGCTCTTCAACCACGTCTCTCGTGACGAAACCACTACATCCCCTGCCTCTACTCTATCTGACCCTCGTGTAGACCATGAGTCAATAACGTGCCTGAATACATGATGACCAAACTGCACAGAAAATGAAGACACTACGACGTTTCGGTCCTTGATGACTTTATAGTGGTCCAGGACGAAGTGAAACGTCATTTCTTCATTTTCTGATGTATGGTTGATCATATCTTGATCCCTCGATCCAATCTTCACTGACGGTTCAAAATGAAGCCACTGCATCAAACTGTTGACCCCAGCATCAAACTACAGAACAGCCTCCTCATGATTAATAGCCAATTAATAGAAACTAACACATTACCTATCAATTCCAAATTTTGCACCTGAAGCGCCAGCCTCGGCATGCTCTGGAGACCCCAGCCTCACCAAGGTCCTGACACCAGCGACCGACACCAACGTCGTCTCATCACACCAGCAGCTGGACCGATCCCTGGCACTAGCTCCTCCTACAGCCACTCTTCTCGAGCTAATCTTCAACTGTACCCACTTCCCACTCACCCACTGGTTATCTTTACTATATTTAAAAGTTAAGCATCGAGGTCACTCGGAGCAGCCGCCGCCACCACCACGAGGTTCCCCGCCGTCTCACCAGCCGGACTTGGCAACAATGCAACTGGTCCTATTAGCCTCGGTGCCTCTATCTCGCCACACTGATCTAAATTGAGCTGTGTAGAGGGGGGAGGGGATAGAAGGAAACGATCAGGAGAATGCTTCAAGCCATTACGACTATACAGCACTAGGGTCAGGATAAGGATTTGGGATAGGACAGAGGTGGCAGGGAACGATGTCCAACCACTTGGACGGTCGGGGATTGAACGCCGACCTGTGTAAATCCGTGGCGCAGTTGACTAGAGCGTGTGCCTGGCAACACCAAGCGCATAGGTTCGAACCCTCATTACGGCTCCTGTGGATTTGTTCTAGGCAAATCTTCTAATACAGGATCATCCAATAGGAATGGGTTCCTGCTAATACGAATTGTGTGGAATATACAAAACTGATACGAGAGGAATCTGGCGAGAAAATGGACTGCAATACTCAAAGAAATTTTGACGCAAAATGTCGTTAGATAACTACTTGACTTTCAAATACAAAGTTATGAGGAGCAGAGCAGAACCTGGACAACAGTACTGGATGAAGCAGACATTCTTGTACCATAAAGTAACGTAAGCAGACTTATCGTCAAATCTAATGCCAGGCGATATATCATAAGATAAATCTTTATATATGTAGAGGTACCACCACTGGTGAAATTGTAAGGACCCATAGCCTCGAAGAAGAAAGTATTCCGAGAAGACCTTGTGGAGTCTTATTGAACACTAATATTTTCTTTTATCACCCCTAATTTTTTTTCTTTATATATATATAATAAAATATTAGATTAATAACTCAAGTGGTACTGGCCAGGACCCGTGTAGTCATCCAAGTCATATATATATAAACTGTGATAACACTGATGATGCCCCGATATGAAACCTTTACCGGAAAAGGCACAGGACATGACCTAGAAACACAAGAACACAACATAAGGTTCGTTCCCCCAAGTCGTGGGGCCAGAGCTGCTACGACGACAGGCTGAGGGAACTGGGTCTCGCCGGACTGGAGGAGTGAGAGAAGAGAACCGTTCTAGCCACATGCAAATGTTAAATAAATTGGCATCGCTCGAAGGAACAGCCGAGGAGGCACAGAAGGAGCCAAAGATAAATAGCTGGTAGAATGTCAGAAAGAACTAAAGTGTTAGTCGCCAATAACTGGAATTTGACCACTATTACAAAAACTCCATACACAATTTTAAATTTAAAGGAAATATGGGAAGCGAGTCATTCCATTACATTAAGGGTCGAGAGGCGACGCTAGGAACCTATGTTCTATCCCGCAAGCATGGTTAGTTGACTAGATTAATCCCTTAGATGTGGTTGTCCTATACCTTAACCCCCCCCCCCTCTCACACACCCTCCCTATCCTCCCCCACACACCGTCCCTCCCTTCCTCCCCCACACAGTATATAATCCCCAGATGAGTCGTATGTGTATATGAACAGTTCATATGTGTATGTATGAACAACTCGATAAATAATATGTATGAACAACTCGATAAATAATAATAATAAAATAAAGAGCCTTAAACAGAACAACATGTGTGGAAGCATCGGAGTGTGTATATATGAATGCTACACAGTATTCATCTATAGACATCCATATATGGTGAAACACATGTGAAGAACCTCTCACACACTCACAGCTCCCTGACAAGAGGGAGCCAACTTACCTTAGCTGCCAACACCCACACCGTGTCAGCAAGGCGGACAGTCCGGCTACTTTCATACCTCTCACTGTATTTCCCTCTTCTATACTTCCCTTCACCTATGCCTCTCCTTCCTCTTTACTCCCCCCCAAACCCCCCCCCCCCCCAGCACGGGTGGGATACGAACAAGGGGGGACAGGTGGAAACTTAGTACCCAGATGAACCACAGAAACGTTAAAGAATTTTTTCAGTGCCAGTAGTTAATAAATGGCATGCATTAGGAAGTGATGTGGTGGAGGCTGACTTCATACACAGTTTCAAATGTAGATATGATAGAGCCCAATAGGCTCGGGAATCTGTACACCAGTTGATTGACTGTTGAGAGGCGGGACCAAAGAGCCAAAGCTCAACCCCCGCAAGCACAATTAAGCGAGTACAATTAGGTAAGTACACCCCCTTCCTCCCCTCACACCCCATTTCCTCCCCCCGTCCCTCACACCTCATTCCTCCCCTCACACCCCACCTTCCTCCCCCTGTAGCCTCCCTTACACACCAGCTAAAGTAAAAGCTGCTTACACATACGCTCAGTATGTGCTCACTACACCTGTAGCTGCAAGTCACGCGGCCTTGAGCAGGTAGGTGTCTTGTTGGACTTACCCAGAGCTGTGGACTAACCTCCGGTCAGTCTTTCCTGCGCCTGTGGACCACTGTCCTTGCCAGGCCCGTGTCCGCTTACGGCTACTCAATCTGTATTAGCCTTTTAAACAAACTTTCGTAACTAATTAAGAGAAACTTTCAGTCAGCGGTGTATGTAAAGCTCTGACTGAACTATCGAAGCTTACCTGGAGCTTGACGAACTTGTGTCTGCCGAGGGCTGGGTTGTGGAGACAGGGCGGGGGGACGTCGCGGTCCTGGCACTGGTTGAGGGCGCCCCTGCACCACGCCCACGCCAGCTTGCCCACCACCACCACCCCGTACACCACCGCCAGCACCCACTCCAACACTCCCACCAACACATACACCACAACAGACATTGTATTAGTCTTTCTGTTTCTGTTGCTCAAATCGTGGTTTGTGGGAGAAGGGGAGGATGTATGGCAAGAATAAAATAAGAGGAGGAGGGACGGGATAAGAAATGAAGACAAGATGAAGATCATGTGATTAAGGACGCAGGTTGGTACAGAACAAGGCAAGGAGGGAGCACCAGCAACAGTTAGCACCAACAGGATCACCACCACCACCACCACTTAGTTCACGTGTACGTCACCAAGTCCACGACGAGCACGTCCTGCAAACAGTCCTCCTCAGGTCACTTCACACATTGTCTCCGCACTACTTGCTCATCTGCTTGAAATCCATTTGGTAGTTCTCCGGTGGAGAGTATTAGGTGGGTGGTGCACTCATGGTTCCCGCCTCTGCCAGCACCCCGACACCTGCACCGTGGCTGGGGTAGTACTGACTGCTCCTCCACGGCCTGGCCCACTCGTCCAGGTCGCCCTGGGAAGATAAGAAGCCCCAGATTACACTACCTTATCGGGTTATCATTGTTATGTGCGTCGGGGCCCAAAGGTCTAAGTATCCAACTTCTCGCCGACTAAATTATTACCTATATACTGGAAATACCAATAATGCAAAGTCCGTCCTAAATTATGTCATCATTTGTTAATAATCTTTTCATTAACAATCAGAACAGACCACAACGGACAACCTGAAAAGTTAACTGCTGTAGACAGCTGGCGAGGAGCGTTAAGTCAGTTGTACAGACTGTAGAACATGACTGGTTACACGGGTCACGTTACGAGTGGTGACGACAGTTTAAAAAAGTTTGTCAACTACTTTTTGTTTTATACGTTATAGACGTACGGTTGTGCTTTTGCATATTGTTTTAACTATGAATTTATCAAATTATAATTTATCAGGCATGTTCTATCAAATTATACTATTTACCATAATGCGGATTTTAACATTTTGGGTGTAAAGTCTGGGCGCACTTGGTAATGCAGACGATGTCAAAGATGGCGGGAGTGGCCGCGCTGACCCTCTCACACCACAACCCTACACACACATACCTGATGGTGCTCGTGTGCTGCTGGGTGTTCTCCTCCACAAGTGGTCTGCTCACGATGATCACACCAACAGTAACACACAACATACCATGTTCTTAAATTACATATATTTTTAGTGTAAAAAACCAATTATCTAAAACACCAAAATTGCCATTTGCACAATATTATGGCCCCCGTCTCAAGACCTAAGCTTGCGCTCTGTGACTTTGAGAACCAGTTGCCATAGCACAACGTAGTTATAGGCGATAGATTGGGGAAAGAAAGCTTGCAGCCTCAAAACTGGTGTCCTTGAAGAGAAGTTCTGGAAGAGGCGGTGGGTGCTACAGCGACTGGACTGGGAAAAAATGGCTCCCTGTGAGGGGTAAGCCTGTCCATCTAGTGTTCGGAGCGTTTCGTAGCATTTTAAAACGAGAACTGCTTCGGCACGCTTCAGGAGAACTCGACTCACTACCTCTCCCACCTTATCAAACAGCCCGTCCTCATAAACAAAGGCCAAAGTCCATTCCATACTACACTTTGATCCCAGCCAAAAGGCCGAGAAGCGACTTACGGGCTATTCATGCCTGTGCCACCTCTTGGGTGGCTTAATCTTCATCAATCAATCCATTCCATACACCCGTCAAACCCGCTGTTTATGAATGAAAAACGGTTTACACACGATTCACAACTGATGACGTCCGAACACTTCCGGAACAAGTGTTTCACTGACGAGTTTTGTTCGAACCACATCGCTATAAATGCTTCACCCACGTACTACAATTGCAAATAATCGCCAACCGAACCTAAACACCTAACCTAACCTATGTCTATATATGCATAATATGCTAATATTTTATAATATTAATTTATATTTGAGAAAATTCCCATTTTGAATGAACAGCATGTTAAAATTTATGAATGCGTCTGTGGGGTCGACCGCTGGATGTAATGGACTTGAGTCGAGGACGGGTTGTGTAAGGACACGAACAGCACTCTTGTATATTATAGTTGTATTTCACCACTGTTTTCAGCTTTGGTTTTTAGTGAGTGAATTATAGATATAATGTCTGATGGCTGACTGGTAGAAGAAGCCGGGAGTAATTCAGCTTTACCTGTGAGCTGATTCCAGTGTTTTGTGCGGTTATTTACCGTGTTTAGGATGCATTGTTGTCCTATGAGACCTGGTCGTGTCTGTGTGGCCTTTGTATGAATCTGTTATAATAACATATAAGGAGACGTTTTAATCTGATGAATAGGGTGAATGTGTGTCGTATTTTGTGAGTTGTTTTAGATGCTGATGTTTCTGCTGTCTGTTTCATTGTGGTTTGTATTGTGTGTGAAGTACCTGCCTATGTGTCAGTGTGGATGGGTTTTCATTGTATGAATATGTTTGATCAGTGTCATCTATTATGTTTGTATCCCAGTTAACTCTTTTATACGAAAAATGATGAGTAGTTTGAATGAGTAACGATGGGTTGTTAGAGAGGCATAATGTCATATGGGAATGTGTTCAGATTCTGTGAGGGGGGAGGGGGTTCAGGTGATGTGTAGTGGAAGATGTGCGCCTAGTCTGTCAGTAAGGATAAGATCAGGCTTACCAAATCCAGGGGGGTGTAAAATCTGTAATGAAATCAGACTCAAGGATTAAAGTTTTTGTTTTGTTTTTGTGGGTATAGTTGGTGTAGTTGTTTACCGTGGAGATTAATGTTGTTGAAGTGGAATGCATTATGTTGAGCATTGAGGTCTTCCACAAGAATGACAGGTATATACCAGGAATTATACGAGGAACGATTAAGGGCTAACTACACTGTAAACAGGCTTGAGTGGGCGGATCTCATCGAAAATTTAAAAATACTAAACACTTTACCAGAATTTTGACCTGAATTTATCTGAGGGCCACAAAGACTCTAGTGGCCTCGACGAGGACAGGAAGCCAGAAGCTTGTCAAAGGTCTCCCCATCTGTGCTGGTGACTTTTTCAAGCTGGATTTTGAAGTTCAGCAGAATTTTGGTATTTACGACTTCAGCGGGTAGGCGGTTCCATTGGTTTATAACCCCGTGGATGATAAAGCATCTCTTGCTTTCAGTCCTACACTTGGGCTTGTTGAGCTTGAAATCGTTACTCTTTGTCTGCGTTACATCTGACCTTTTGACCTTCAGCCCAATATGAAGGATGTTGATCCAGAAAATTTCTTCAAAAGGTCAGATGTGACACAAACAAGGATCAACGGTTTCAAGCTCAACAAGCTTGAATGTAGGATTGAAAACAGATGCCTTTTCACCCACAGGGTTATAAACCCATGGAACCGCCTACCCGCCGAAGCCGTAAATGCCAAAAAAAAACTATTAAATTTTAAAATCCAAATTGAAAAATCATCAGTGGAAATGGGGTTATCTTGAGGTTATGTTGAGATGATTTCGGGGCTTTAGTGTCCCCGCGGCCCGGTCCTCGACCAGGCCTCCACCCCCAGGAAGCAGCCCGTGACAGCTGACTAACACCCAGGTACCTATTTTACTGATAGGTAACAGGAGCATAGGGTGAAAGAAACTCTGCCCATTGCTTCTCGCCGGCGTCCGGGATCGAACCCGGGACCACAGGATCACAAGTCCAGCGTGCTGTCCGCTCGGCCGACCGGCTCCGGGGGGGAGGGGGGAACCTTTGACAAGCCGCCGTCTTCGTGCCCTCGACGAGACCACCGGAGTGTTAGTGGCCCTCAGGTAAATTCAGGTAAATAATAGTGGGATTGAAAAGTCGTGTTAGGTCTTGCACTGTGAGTCCAATGTGAGGGCGAGTGTGTTGTACCCATGGCCAGGCGCCGTCCATCTTGAGGGCGAGTGTGTTGTACCCATGGCCAGGGGCCGTCCATCTTGCAATACCCACCAAGTCCTTGTGATGCTGAGACGTTTGTAAAAGTTCAAGTTTGAATGTTGATTTTGTTATCATTGCAATGCCTTCGTGTGCCTCATCAAGTAATTGACGTGTGTGGCAGCCATGTTGTCTGATGTTTTACGGGCTATTCATGCCCGTGCCATCTCCTGGGTGGCTTAATCTCCATCAATCAGTCAGTCTGATGTTAAATAAGCTCATACGTGCTGTTTAAAAGCAAGTTTAAGTTTAGTTCATTTATTATGCACCCCATACCCATCCTGTGGGTGGTAGTGGAAAGGGTTACAGAGGCACATAATGGGCTCAGGGACTGAACCCCACAATTCATTTAGCTAAGCAAGTTACAATCTTGATGAGCTAGTTACAAAATTCAATGCACATTTTCACATCAACAATGGGCTCGAGATCGACCCCAAGTACAGTTTCTAAATTAAGCAACTGACATATGTGGAGAGCTAATGTCACAATTGATATGTTTGTCCTGCACACCGACCCCCATCCAGTGGGCAGCGGTGGATAGGTTACAATCACTTAGTTACTACCTACAGTTAGCAAACTGGGAATATTTGGCTACAATTTCTGGTAGGTATATTTTGAATTAAATATTTACACATCAATGGAACATTTGTTATAGAATTGTCTCTGAATTCACGTATCTTTTCGCACTCCATCACATAGTGACGGAGGGTGTGCGAATAATTTTGTTGACACAGTTTACATTTGGTCAGGTCTACATCAGCAGATAATGAGAATTCCCAGAGATACTTGTAACCGAGTCTAAGCTGAGCAGTAGTAACATCTAGAAGTCTGCTGATTTTATTGGATGAACCATAGATGTGTGGCTCCTCTTGCATGATAGTATGATGATAGATGGAATTACTGGTGTCTATTTCCCTTTACCTCAGATCTACAAGAGTTTCTTGAAGTTCTCGGTGTACTATTGCTCTCAGATTGCTTATTGACAATTCAAGGTTATACTCAAATTCTCCTTTAAAGGCAGATTCTTTGGCTAACTCATCAGCTCTATCATGTATTCGGAGGCCAACATGAGATAGAGTCTACATGAAATGGACTCTTTTACCATCATTAATAATTATTTGTTGTATTTGTGTCTACCTTCAAACACGAGCATGTTACAGTTATGTCTTAAAGAGTTGAGAGCATTTAAGGATGATAAAGAGTTACAAAGAATTAATGTATCAAGTTTGGAGACTTGTACACAATTCAGTGCAAGGAACAAGGCAAATAGTTCGGTCTGAAGGAGACTTCTCGGCCTCAATAAAATCAGCCAGCGGGTGGCGAATGTTAGTGTGCCCTAACATTAAATTGTACGACCTTTAAGTGTTTCTAAGTGTTGTGCGCACTGAAATCTAATTCAAGTGCAAAATTGTCTTTAACATTTATGGTTACCAATCCAAAAACATGTACGTGCCTGTTTGCTTAGGGAGACGTTTGTGTGAGGGTGATACATTCCTGTCGTCAGGGGGATTTCTAGATGGTACTCGCCTAGTTGTGCTTGCGGGGATTGAGCTTCGGCTCCGCCTCTAAACTGTCAATCAACTGGTGTACAGATTCCTGACCCTATTGGGCGCTATCATATCTATATTTGAAACTGTGTATGGAGTCAACCTCCACCACATCACTGACTAATGCATTCCATCTGTTAACTACTCTGACACTGAAAAAAATTCTTTCTAACGTCTCTGGCTCATTTGGGTACTAAGTTTCCACCTGTGTCCCCTTGTTCGTGTCCCACCCGTGCTAAATAGTTTGTCTTTGTCAACCCTGCCTATTCCCCCTGAGATTTTTTTAGGTGGTGATGATGTCTCCTCTAACTCTTCTGTCTTACTGAGACGTGAGGTTTTGTTCCCGTAGCCTTTCCTCGTAGAAAGGCTTCCGGAACAAAAAAACTCCTAAAACTCAGTACCACCTCTTAGTTTTGGGACTAGTCTGGTGGCATACCTCTGGATCTTCTCTAACTTTGTCTTGTGTTTAATTAGTTATGGACTGGAGCTGCATAATCCAGTATTGGTCTGACATAAGTAGTATACAAGGTTCTGAATGATTCCTTATGCAAGTTTCTAATGGCAGTTATTATGTTATCCAATCTAACATATGCCGCTGCTGATATCCTTTTGACGTCGGGTTCTGGGGACAGGTTTAGCTTCCTACTTGACTTTCGAAGGATTTCACCTCCCAGATAGTACCTTGTGTTCGGCCTCCGGCTCCCTTTACCTAATTTCTTTAATTTACACTTTCTTATCCTTGGGGAAGAATTGACTAGGCGCCATTTCTTGAGTGTACCCCTCTGTTCACCCAGCAGTGAATGGGTACCCTGGTTGTTAAACGATTTGGCGGGTCATATTCCAGGGAAAATTATGACTAAGGATTTGCCTGTAACGCTTTGCGTGCTAGTGAATTTAAAAGAACGTAAGAATTGTATATATAAATAAAATGAAATAAAAAACTTGAGTTAAAC